GTGGTTTTTTTTTTTTTTTTTTTTTTTTTTTTTTTTTTTTTTTTGGTACTGGGATTGAACTCGGGTCCTTGTGCTTGCAAGACAGGCCACCAAACCACTGAGCTAAATCCCCAGCCCCCTGCCAGCAATTTATAAGCATCAATCCAGGAACTGCAATAAAACAAAAAAATTGAAAATGAGGAGACACTTAAGCAAAATGCAACTCTAGACCTCCAGCTTACTTACCAAAGGCAACCCCAGAGAACAATGAGGTGAAACCGTTTGAAAGCCACCCACCGAAACTTTCTTAAGTGGTAATAGCATAAGTAACAAAGCAGATGAGAAAAAAAATCAAATCAGAAATAATCTCTCTCAAAAAAGAATGAATCTCTCAGATAATGACAAAGACGGTGACTATAATGAAAGACATGGTTGGGCTGGGGATTTAGCTCAGTGGTTCTGGTGACTGCCTCGCAAGTGCAAGGGCCTGAGTTCGATCCCCAGTATGGGGGGTGCATGGTGACTCCAGCACAGATACATATGAAAAATAAAGAAAGAAAGAAAGAAAGGAGCTTAGGAAAATGATGGAAACCATGAATGTCCAACATAGGAAAGAAATGAAAACCATGAAACAGACTCAAACACACATCTAGGACATTAAAAATTCCACTGAGCGGGCCAGGGATTTAGCTCAGTGGTTCCACCGCCTGCCTGGCAAGCACAAGGACCCGAGTTTGATCCCCAGTACCAAAAAAAAAAAAAAATTTCCACTGAGGGGCAGGGATTTAGCTCAGTGGTTCCACCGCCTGCCTGGCAAGCACAAGGACCCGAGTTTGATCCCCAGTACCAAAAAAAAAAAAAAAATTTCCACTGAGGGGCAGGGATTTAGCTCAGTGCCACTGTGCCTGCCTCACAAGCAAAGGTCCTGAGTTTGATCACTGGTACTGGAAAAACAAACAAACACACATTCTACTGAAAGAATACACAGAGAATGAGTCAATGTGAGGACAAAATATCAGGTTTAGAAGATAAGATTGTAGTTAGTGACTATGAAAAAGAAAAGATTACTTGGGAAGAGGATGTAGCTCAGTGGTGCAGCACCTGCCTGGCAAGCACAAGGTTCTGAGTTTCATCCCTGGTACTTCCAAGAGGGAAGGGAAGGGAGGGGATGAGAGAGGGGGAGGGTAGGGGAAGGAGAGGAAGAAAGAAAGAATTCTGAAAAAGAGTAAGGGACAATGAAAAATCAATCCAACAGCTACTAGATGATCCAAAGAAGAATAACATAAGATTGATGAAAAAGCAGGAGATAACACAAACAACATAAAAAGGCTGTTCACAGAAGTAATGGCAGAAAACATCTCAAGCATGGAAAAAGAATTTGACATATAGACACATTTAGGGAGGCATGTAGAATTCCAAGTAACCATGATTAAAAAAATCTACACTAGGGCTGGGTGGGGATTTAGCTCAGTGGTTCCACTGCTTGCCTTGCAAATGCTAGGACTCAAGATCAATCCCTGGTACCCCCCCGCCAAAAAAAATCAACACTAAGGCATACAATAGTCATGATTCCAGAAATTCAACATAAGACAAAAATATCAAAAGCTATTAGAGAAAAGAAACAAATCACAGCAGAGCTCTCACCATAAACCCTCAAATCAAGGAGAGCTTGAAGTATTTCAAGCCCCGAAAGACAACAACTTCCAACCCAGATTGATGTACCTTAAAAATCTACCTTCCAAAATTGACAAAGACTGCCACCTGCCTTGCAAGCACAAGGACCCAAGTTCAATCCCTAACCCTAACCCTTCAGCCTCAGTTTCCCAATCTGCAAAATGGGGATACAGATAAACTGAGATACTCTTTATATGACACTGAACACCTTGCTGGACACAGTATTCAATAAATGGCATTTAATATCAAATCCATGTTTAGCAAACTGAACGTCTACTTAGAAACACAGAAACAAACAGGGCCAGGGATTTAGCTCAGCAGTGCTACCACCTGTCTCGCAAGTGCAAGGTCCTGAGTTCAATCTCCATTACCAAGCGGGAAAAAAAAAAAAAGAAACACAGGAACAAGGATTCAGCTCAATCTCTGTTATAATCCAGCTCATTATTTTCCAGACATGTGACCTTGGATAAGTGATTTAAGTCTCCTAAATCCCTTTTCCTCATTAAAAACAAACAAACAAAAGAAATGGAATCCATAAAACAGATTCAAACAGATATCCAGGAGATTAAACACTCCATAGAAAGTGTACGCAACAGAACAAAAGAATGCGAAGATACACTCTCAGATATAGAAGATAAGATTGCAGTCAGTGACCATGAAAAGAGAGGTCTCTTAAAAACAGTAAGGGATCATGAGAAATCGATCCAACAACTCCTAGATGATGCAAAGAAGAATAACATAAGACTGATAGGAATACATGAAGTAGCAGGAGAAAATACAAATGACTTAAAAAAGCTGTTTGCAGAATTAATGACAGAAAACTTCCCAAACAGAGGGGAAGAATTTGACATTCTGATAACTGAGGCATATAGGACCCCAACTAGCTACAATAAAAAAAAAGTCTACACCTAGACATATAATAATCAAGATCCCAGAAACCCAACAGAAGAACAAAATACTACAAGCAGTAAGAGAAAAGAAAGAAATCACATATAAAGGAAAGCCCATCAGAATCAAAGCAGACTTTTCAACACAAACCCTTGGGGCAAGGAGAGCATGGAATGAGATATTTCAAGTACCAAAAGAGAACAACCTCCAACCTAGACTGATGTATCCAGCAAAACTCTCTTTCAAAATGGAGGGGGAAATAAGACACTTCCACGACAAAGAACACCTGAGAAACTACGTGAATACCAAACCAGCACTACAAGCAATTCTAAACAAGATCCTAGAAAAAGACAATGAAGGCAACAACACCATGAGGCCCAACAGAGCAAATCAAATAGGCAAGGCAAGAAATTAAAAGGAGAAGGTGAAAAAGTAACAAGAGTCAACAAAAGGCCAAAAACATGTCAATAATAAGTCAGTACATATCAGTTATAACCAGCAAATGTCAATGGCCTCAACTCACCAATCAAGAGAAATAGACTGGCAAAATGGAATAAGAAGCAAAATCCAACAATATGTTGTATACAAGAAACACACCTAGGGCAAAAAGAAGCCCAGAGACTGAAAGTGAAAAGATAGAAAATAATTCTCCATATGACAGGAGCCCAGAAAAAAACAGGGGTAGCAATCTTATTGGCAGACAAAGTAAATTTCAAACCAAAACCAATTCTAGTATTATTGATGTAGGACGGTACTGTATCATACCTCTATGAATGTAAAATATCTTATACCTGCTTTATGATACATAGTAGGGACCGTGCTTTATCAGATCTACATTTAATGATATTACTCTAGAATGTTCTCTTTCCAGATGATGATTAAGAGGCTAATAAAAAAAAATGGTGCCAGGTACCACAACAGCAACAGAACTTTGCTGTTGTCTGGATATTATTCTTTTCTTTGTTTCTTTTTGTTTCGTTTTGTTTCGTTTTGTTTTAATGGAATGTGCTGAATGTCTATAATTTTGTTCAGATGACTGCAGAACCTGGAAAAGCTGTTGCTGCTATCGATGCATTACATACTGCTATTATTAGTCTTTTTATATAAATATAAATATATACACACACACATATATATATATATAAAAATTGAATTTTGGGAAACTTTAACGGTGCTGCCAATTTTGCAAAAAGTCATCCCAATTTACTGTGTTGAGTTGGCATTGTACAGAAATAGACAGCCATATTGGTCTAGAAATGTTAATTTTTTTCATTTTTATTTTTTTTCCATGTATACAGGGGTAACACATCGTACTAAATATGTAAGGTCATATCTACGTGGGTTTGATTACAGAAACTAATAAAGTATTCTCTAAATAATGAAAAAAAAGAATAAGACTACAAGAGCAAGAAGCAATTTAAATATGTTCAGGGACCATTTTCATCTCCAGAATTAAGGTTTATTTTAATGTTTCATCATTGCCTTTTCTCTTTTACTTTCCTTTTTAGTCTTATTTTAGGATTCCCTATTTTTAATGTTCATACAGAGATTTCTTTAACTGAATACCAGTTTCTCTGGTGTGAAAAACTATAATAGTACACAGGATCCTAATGAGATAATTAATGATGTGAAATAGGAAGTAAAGGGCTAAAGGTGTAGGGAAAGTGGGAAGGGTGGGGGAAAGGTAATAAGGGAGAGGAAAAAAATATGAGAAACTGAAAAATGAAAATAAAGTGTTTGTAAATGGGGAGGGGAAGAGGGGGTGAAGGGAGGGCAGGGACAAGGGGAAAAAATGAGAATCAAGACTTATTATGTAAAGGTACAGAATCCCAATGATGAATGTAATTATATTGTATACCTAGACTGTACCAATAAACTCAATAAAAAGAAAAAACAAAAACAAACAAACAAAAAAACACTTCCATCTACCTCTTTGAGGGATGATGAGAGGAACTCATAAATTTCAAAATCCTATGAAACTGTCAGGAATGGACATGACCACACTCCCAGCACCCCAAGGACTCAAGTAGTCTTTGGCCTGGGGGGAGGAAGGTTAAGGCCACCTGTGTACGGTGACAGCCAGGTAAAACCAGACCATTTTCCTGGTTGGGCCCAAACCCTAAGAGGCCTCACCAGAACTACTGCAGTTATCTTTATTTCCAGTCAGCAGGGCACTCAGGGCTGGCCTGTGCCAGCCAAGCCCTGCCCAGGGGTGGAAAGACAGGACCTGTAATTCTGGTTTGCACCCAACAGTCTCCATCCCCCTCCATGGGGCATCTGGTTGCAGGGACCAGAACCCAGAAGCTCCTAAGAGGGCTCAGATTGTTTTAATGCAACTCCACCAGAGCCTCAGCATATTCCAGGTCTCACCTGAGATCATAGGATGAAGGCAGGGGTGGGAAGAGCTGTATCCAAGTCTGCCTCTAAATGTGCCCCTTTGTGACCTCTATCCCCTTCCTGAGAGATAAAGGAGCAGTGAAAAAAGGGTGCCCACTGCCAACATGAAGGCAAATACTTTACCACTGAGCTACAGCCTAATCCTGGGCAAAAGGCCATTAAGCCTCACTGTTAGAAGAATTCCAAAGACATGTGACCTCCTAGAGCTGACAGGACAAATAATTAGAGACAATGTTGCTCAAAGAACCTGTACAACCAGCTGTCACCCTTGCACTTCCTCTCCTCCCTTGCACAACCAGCCCGGGAACTCACCATCTTCAGCAGTGTTCAGTTTGAGGCTCTTGCCCTTGAAACTCAGCTGTCCTCCAGCCACCTGGGTTTTAGCCAGAGTCTCTGCCAGCTTGGCGATGTCTTCAGAGGCCATGGTGCCTACAATGGTGGGCTCTGCTGGAGATCTGCAAACTGAGGAGACCAAAATTACATTAAGAAAGGCAGCTCAAAGAGAGGGCGGGGTATAAGGCAAAAAGTGAGACCAAGATCTGTCATGTAAAGGTACAAGATGCCAATGATGAATGTAACTGTACTGTATACTTAAAAAGTACCAATAAACTCAATAAAAGAAAAAAAAAAGAGAAAGGCATCTCATGGGGCCTCTGGTTGGGAAGGATCAGGATAAGCTATCAGTCACTTCTGGTGCTGGCCTCGCTGACCTTGCCATGGAGAACCCAAGAGCTAAACCACTAGGAGAAATGAAAAAACTATTAGTGAAGAAACGGTTTGAGAGGAGTGGAGGAGGTAGCAAGAAAACAGTGAAATCAGCTTTAGCCCCTGAAGAGTTATAGGCTCACTGTAAGACCTCCCCTGTCAAACTGCCCAGTGGGGACACTCAGCCAAACCATGCCAAATGTCCACTTCCTGGGCCCCCTAATGAGTGGCAGGTCAAGTCTCAGGCTAAAGGCTTCAATGAGTCTGCCCCAAGTATGCACTTACCTGCCTGATCATCTTGGCAGTTCTCTGTTTGAGGGCCCCATTCCTCAAACAGGACAGAAATGGCTAAGGGATCTAGATCATTCATCCCAGAGACTGCCCTGCTGCCCCCATTATCATGACTCTGGGGCTGGGGCCAAAGGCTCAGCTCACTGCACATCTGGTATTATCCCAAGAAACTGGGCAGATGGCCTCTCAGGGGTTCTAGGAGACCAGAAATCTCTACATCACAACAGCCACCATCACAATAGGCGAGGGAATGCAAAAACTCAATTTCTTCAGTGTATTCTCATAACACACTTCTGATGGCAGACGTCTACGAGTTCTTCCCTGAGTACCAAGCAATCAATTCATTCTACAATGAATACCACTGGCATCTTCTAATTCATTGCTGATTCTGACACCATCTACCTGGACAGTGTCACAGCCCACAGGTTGAGGGTTCAATCTTACAAGATTGAGCCCTACTTCCAATGTTAATGCAAGCCTCGGGTTGGTTTACTGCACGTATGACTTGCTACAAACTGGAGCTCCCATAACCCACTCCTTGGGTTCAATTAATTTGCTGAAACAGCTCACTGAATTCAGGGAAACACTGTTGTTTCAGAAAGAGTACTGCAAAGGATACAGAAAGAGTTGGGAGCTTCCACATGCCCCCCCCCACACACCGGGGCTGCAATACCCCAGAACCTACACACATTCAGCTTTCTGGACACTCTCTGAGGGGTTTTAAGGAGGCTTCCTTACACAGATATTATTGCAGACAGTGAAGTTCGAAAACATTTTAAGACAGCTGGGCCCTCAGCATAGAAAACAAGTGAGACACATTCACTAAAGGTTAACACCCACATACTTCCCCTATGGTTGAGCAGCAGTGACTGATATTCTAAAAAGACATCTATCACCTTAACTGGGGGCCAAAACATCCCTAATCATTCACTCTGGGAATCCCTGCATGCTTGCGACCTGACTAGCTTCTCCATTTGATAGCCATTTAATTAGTATCACTTGGGTGACTACACTTGTAATCTTACTGGTTGATCATGGTTTTGTCCCACCTCATGACCACCTTATGATTTTCCAGCAGATCTTATAGTTTTGTCCCGCTTTGTACCCACCCGCCTCACCTCGTGGCTTTGCTCCATGACACCCTTTGAAAAGCAGGGTGGGTGGGCAACCCACTTTCAGGACCACCTTCTGTCTCTGTTAGAAGCTATCGTTCTCTCAATAAATTTTTTTCTGGGCTGGGCTTAGCTCAGTGGCACCACACCTGCCTCTCAAGCAGGTCCTGAGTTCAATCCCTGGTACCAGAAAAAAAAAAAAAATCTAAATTTTTTTTCTACTCTTAACCTCCATTGTTCCTAGAATTCATTCTTCGATTTGAGAGAATGCAAACTCGTGTTTCAGATATCTAGCAGGAGTTATATTTTCCTTTTTTGGATTATTTTGAGTATTTGGATTTCTTGGTGCCCTATATCTATACAATTGGTTAAATCAATGGCTACTGGTGATCAGTTTAACCTTCAGACCTTCTCCAGAGGTTGGAGTACAGGGCTGAAAGTCCTACCCCTCTAATGCTGCCTGAGTCTTTTTTGGTGGCCAGTCCCCGTCCTGAAACCACCTCGGGGTTGCCCACCAGCAACCAATTCATTAGCCTACAAACAGATACATAACTGCAGGGATTTAGGAGTTCAACAGCAAGTAGCTGATGATGTGTCCTATACTGTACAGTGCAGTACAATACTGTACAGTGATACCTCAGGTATCTTTCCAATGACTACAAGTGTGAACTTTCTACTATTCAAACAACAAAGGTCAAAAAATTCTGTTAATCGGCCGGCTTTTCTTGATAGCAAACTGAAATTCAACATGAAAACACCCGCACAGGCTGAGTAACAAGTCACGTCTAGCCTAGGACACACAGGGGTGATGCTTCATCTAAGCACACCGCTCACAACTAGACATGTAGTGCTAATGTGAGTGCACTAAAATATTCACCACTGTGCTTTTTTATGACCCTTATTTGCATAAAATATTGTAACCACAGCTCCAAAGAAGGTTAGTGATAACCAGCAGTAAAGCCAGGAGAGCTGTGTGAACCATGACAGAGCTAAAGAAAGAAATCATTGCAAAATCTGTTAAAGTCCTAGAAAAATGAATTTATGAGTATAATTTTTGGGGCCTCAGAATAAATTATGTGGTTTTCTATTATTTCTTTTGGGAAAAATATATTCAATTCTCAAACTTTTTGGTGTTTGAACATGAATTTGGAACGAATTGAGTTTAACAACCAAGGTATCACTGTATATGTCCCAAAAATATTGCTGCTTCCAGCCTGGAACTCAGCACCTAGCAGAATGGACAATTCCATGACAGATAATGGGGAGACCAAGGAAAAGAGATATGGGAAACAAAGCAAGGGCATGCTATGGAGAGGCATCCTCAGATGGAGTTTTGATAGGCCTTCATCCTCCAGACTTCCTCTGGGCTCAAACAGCCAGCTTGTCACCCCTTCTCCTATTCCTATCAGCTATCACCCTGGTTTTTTTTTGAGACAGGGCAATTGCCATGCAATTCCAGCTGGCCTTGAACTCACTGTGTAGCACTGGTTGGCCTCAAATTCAATAAACCTCCTGCCTCAGCCCCTCAAGGGCTGGGATTACAGGCATGCACCACTACCTGCCTATCGCCCTGGTTTGTCTATGCCTGCATATCCTTATCAGTAAGCTGGTATTATTCTTCTGGGAAAGGCATCTGGCATTCATTGAACAAAACATTTATTAGACTAAATATTACTCTGTATTGGACATTGCTCCAAGTAACAGCAAAATAGCAGTGAATGAGGGCTGGGGATTTAGCTCAGTGGTTCTGTCACCTGCCTCACAAAGGCAAGAACCCAAGTTCAATCCCCGGTCAAAAAAAAAAAAAGCAGTAAATGAAACAAAACTCCTGTCTTCTTGGGCCAGGTGTGGTGGTACACACCTGTGATCCCAGCACTCAGGAGGCTGAGGCAGGAGAACTGCCCTGAGTTCAAGGCCAGCCTGAACTACACAGTGAAACCCTGTATCAAAAGCCACAAAAAAAGTCCTTTCTAGCCGGGCATGGTGGCGCATGCCTGTAATCCCAGCACTCAGGAGGCTGAAGCAGGAGGATCACTGTGAGTTTGAGAGCAGCCTGGGGCTACATAGTGAGTTCCAGGTTAGTCTCAACTACATAGTGAGACCCTGTCTCAAAAACAAACAAACAAACAAACAAACAAAACAAAAAAATTCCCTTCTTCTTGTAGTATATGCTTAAACAAAATATTTATTATGTTATGGCTAGGTTATAGTGTTGCATGTCTATAATCCCAGGACACTGAGTGAGAACTGCAAGTTCTAGCCCAGTGTAGGCAATTTAACAAGCCCTGTTTCAAAAAAGGGATGGGAAGGTCCTGGGTTCGACCCCCCAGTACCAAAAAAAAAAAAATCCAAAAAACAAAAAACAAAAAAAGGGCTAGGGATATGGATGTAGCTTGGTGTGATGGCCTTAAATTGGATCCTCAGTATTATACCACAAAAAAATAAGAGAGAGAGGGAGAAAGAGAGAGCAAGCCTAACTAAGGAGGATTTTTTTTTGGGGGGGGTCACAATTTAAAGTAGAGTAATTAGAAAAGGTACTATCAGCAAAGAATTAAATAAAACCGAAATGTTATCAAATATTGGACCATGCAAACATCTGGGGAAAGATCATTCTACCAAAAGAACAGAATATGCGTCACAAAGGCCATTTTAAGGACCCTAGTTTTCACCCTGAGTGCCAAGGAGAGCTGCTGGGAAACTTCTAGCAAAGGAGATGCATGCTCTGACCTAGTCTAGTCTCCACAGGATCACTAACTACCTGCTGCACAGGGCTTGCCATTTAGGTGCTCAAAGAGTGCAGTGAATTGAATAAAAATTGATCTGGAACCAAATCACCTCTTGCGCTTCTGAGATGGGACAATATGAGGCTAGAAAAAATGGTGATGGGGTCCAGATGCAAATGGGACACAAATTTCTCAGTCTCATGAGATGCAAATCACACATACACACACACACACACACACACACGCACGCACACGCGCAAACATCCTTGCCAATCACTTTTAAGTCTAAGAAGCCAAAACAAAGAGATGCGTTGATTTGTCCAAGGTCATCAAGGAGCCAGCAGCAAAGCAAAAGCAAACGGTTAATACAGGAAGGTCCTCTCCCTCTGGGCGGCAGCGTGGGAGACGTCCTTCGGTGCACCATCGATCTGGCAAAGCGTCAGCACTGACTCACGCAGATCCCGGGGACAACGGTGGCACCCGCCTGGCCCCAGCAGGCGTGGGCCGACAGGGGAGGCGGCGGTGGCGGCGCCACTCATGAGCACGTGAACGAGCAGAGGTAGCGCGGGACAGGGGCGTCGGGCTTCGCCCAGGGTTCCCTGAGGACTCGCACCGCCTCTAGGTGACACCGACGCCTACCAGAGACGCCACTGCCGGCAACTGCGGGAGGGGAGGCGTGGGCGCGTCAAATTCTCTCTTTAGGCCTTAGTTTCCCCACTTCTAAAAGGCCCGGAGACGCCCAGCACCTCGCTCCCCCATGTCCACCCCGCGCTCTGCAGTCGAAGGCGCGCAGGAGAGGACGAGGGGCGCGTTGTGGGGTTCAGCTGCACCACACTCTCCGCCGTCAGTCCCAGCCGCTCCGCCCCCGGCAGGTGACGGGAAGAGGACAGGGACCCCGGCCCTACCGTGAATAGGCGGCGCCGCCGCGCGGGGCGAGCCGAGCGCGCACGTCTGTCGGGCTAGACGGACGCCAATCTAGTCAGGTCAGGTCCGGTCGAGTCGCTGCCCTGGGGTCAGCCGTCCCGGTGCCCAGCCCGCCTGTCTGTCTGTCAGACCGCGCTCCCGGAGTACCTAGTCACTCGCGCCTCCTACACCTGCTCTCTGCACTGTAGCTGATGATGGCGGAGGAGGAGGATTTTGAAAGCCGGCAGTTTCTTTCCTTCGATTTGATTTGTTCAAACCCAAGCCGGCTTTCCTCCGGCCAGCGCGCGGGGCTCATCGGGTAAAGAAGGCCAGTTCTCCCGCGCAGGCGCGGCAGGGTACGGCGAGGCAAACGCCGCGAACTCCCGGTCCCATGGTGCATCGCGGCCGGAGCGCAACGCCTTTCTCTCTCCACCCGGTTGCTCGTCCTTTAGCTCTTTCTTTTTGTTTTTTTTGTACCGGGGATCGAACTTGGGACCTTGCACTTACGAAGCAGGCGGCAGAACCACTAAGCTAAATCCCTGGCCTCTTCTGGCTCTTTCTAGCGGAGACCGGGGCGGGGGGATTTAGCCGGCGCGCTGGAAAACTACGACTTCCGATAGGTCTTGCGCCTGCCCGGCCGCACCCTTCCGGAAAGGTTTACATTCCTGTTCCCAAAACTTTATTGACAAAGTTTTCTGCCAGAGGATCGCTGCTGGGTATCTTCTGTTTAAAACAGGAATCCATTTTCTGAAAGTATCCCCCTCTCCTTTTTTTTTTCTTTTTTGTCTCATTAAATTGAAAAGATATTTGAAGGCTCCTACATAGTCATAAATCACTTGATGATAAAAAACGAGAAATAGTAACTCCAGTAGAGAAACCCTACAGATACCGCCTTAATCAGGTGGTACGCGTTAGCATTAACAGGACAGAACTGACATCCTTCACTGAGAAGGAAACAGTCTCAGTCCACTCAGCAATGCATAAAATCAGTTATGAGGAAACTTTGGCGAAAGCCAAGCTGAGGGACCTGCTCTTGAATAACTAGTCTGTACCCTTCCAGCAGTCTGTGTAATAACAAAGGCTGAAGAACTGTTGCTGATTACAGGAGATAAAACATGAGCTAAGGAGTAGCTCAGTGATAGAGAGCTTGCCTAGCAAGACCCTGGATTCGATCCCCAGCTCCACAACATAAAGAAGATCAAAAGGACATGACAACTAAGTGCAATACAAAGCCCTGAATTGGATCCGGATGCTGGTGGGGTGTTAAGGAGCACAATATTGAAACAGTTCCCAAAAATGTGACCGCCTGTTAGATGATAGATTGTATCAATGTTAATTAAATTCATTTATTTTTATTGTGGTTGTGATTATGTGTGATATTGTAAAAAATATTTGGTCTTTTAGCCAGGCATGGTGCAGGCCTGTAGTCCCAGCATGCTGGGAGACTGAGGCAGAAGGATCTCATTTTAGAGCCCAGCCTGGGCAACTCAGTGACTTAGCATGATCCTGTCTGATTAAAAAACAAGTGCTCCCAGAGCATGGTGGTGCACGCCTGTAATCCCAGCACTCGGGAGGCTGAGGCATGAGGATTGCTGTGAGTTCAAGACCAGCCTGGGCTACATAGTGAGTTCCAGGTCAGTCTCAACTACATAGTGAGACCCTGTCTCAAAAAAAAAAAAAAAAAGTGCTAGAGCCCAGCATAGCGGCACACACCTGTACTCCCAGCACTCGGGAGGCTGAGGCAGGAGGATCGCTGTGAGTTTGAGACCAGCCTGGGCTACGTAGTGAGTTCTAGGGCAGTCACAACTACATAGTGAGACCCTGTCTCAAAAACAAACAAAAAAAAAACAAGTGCTGGGGTGTAGCTCAGAGTGACGACCCTGGATTCAATCCCCAGTACTGGAAAAAAATGATGTGTAGGAGAAAACCCACACATATCTGGGGTCACAGAAGTATTCTGTGTTGATTGTTGAATGAAAATAAGATAAAATATTTTGTTTTTTCCTCCATACCTTCAGAATAAGAGATTGCCCTTGTCCTTAGTAAAAAAATGCTGAAATAATTAGAGGCAAAGGGTATGACATCTGCAATTTACTGGCTTTTTTGTTGGTTTTTGTTTTTGTTTTTGTTTTTTTGTTTTTTGAGACAAGGTGTCACTATGTTGTTGAGACTGACCTGGAACTCACAATGTAGCCCAGGCTGGTCTCTAACTCACAGCGATCCTCATGCCTCAGCCTACCAAGTGCTGGGATTATAGGTGTGCGCCACCACTCCTGGCTCAAAATTAACTTTTTAAGACATGTATGTGGCTTGGTATGGTTGACACATGCTTGTAATCCCAGTTCTCTGGGAGGCTGAGGTAGGAGAATCACAGGTTCAAGCCCAGCCTGGGCAACTTAGCAAGACCCTGTCTCAAAAAAATAAAAAGATCTAGGGATGTAGCTCTAGGGATGTGAAGGCCTGGTGTTCAATCACCAGTACCACACAAATACACAAATTGTATATACAGGGCCGGGGATTTAGCTCAGTAGTTCTGCTGCCTGCCTCACAAGCACAAGGACCCAAGTTCGATCCCCAGTACTAAAAACAAAACAAAAGAACAAAGAAACAAATAAACAAATTGTATATATGTAGTGGAGATACGCACAAATGTGGCAGAGTGTCAATAAGTGAATATCTGTGAAGAATAATTTGGAGTTCTTTAAACAATTTTGCAACTTTTCTGAAAACTTGACTTGTTTTAAATATGAAAAATCAAATACTAGGGTCAGGGATGTAGCTTAGTGGTAGAGTGCTTGCCCAGCATGTGAGATGACCTGGCTTTAATCCCCAGCACCACATAACACACACATCACACACACACACACACACACACGCACGCACGCACGCACGCACACACACACACACAGCTTTTCTTTATTTCATTTTTTTTGTACCAGGGATCAAACTCAGGACCTTGGCGCTTGCAAGGAAGGCTCAGTGCCACTGAGCTAAATCCCCAGCCCACAGCTTTTCTTTTATACAAATAACTTTTTGACTATCATACAAATAGCATATTGAACACCTCAACCAATATAAAACGCGATACAGGCTGGGCGTGGTGGCGCACGCCTGTAATCCCAGCACTTGGGAGGCTGAGGCAGGAGGATCACTGTAAAAAAAAAAATAATAATAATAATAAAATAAAACACGATACAAGCAGGGGATTTAGCTCAGTGTTGCCACTGCTTGCCTCACAGGTGCAAGGACCCAAGTTCCATCCCCAATCCCCCGTACCAAAAAAAAAATAAATAAATCATGATACAGAATACATAAATAAACATGGCCCTCAGCCCTAAACTCTGGTACCCAGAGATAGTTGCTGTCAACATATGCAGCCTTCTTTCTTTTTTCTTTTTTATTTTTTGGTACAGGGGATTAAAGTCGGGTCCTTGCAGGCAGTGGCACCACGGAACTAAATCCCAGGCCCCCCAATTTTTTTTCATTTAACTTTTTTGTGGTGGGGTACCAGGGATCAAACTCGGGTCCTCACGCTTGTGAAACAGGTGGCAGAACCACTGAGCTAAATCACCGGCTCTACAATGTTCTTTCTAAACTTCTTTACTTCTCACAATTCACCCACAGTTGCTGCTGATTCAACTGCAAGTCTGGGATAAACAGAGCATGCCCTAGTGCCTTCCACACAGAACTAATGGACTCTACATGATGAGAGAGGAAGCGGGCCTCATAGATAGCCCTCCCTACCCAGAGAGAGAGCACCTGGAGCTCTGGTCCCCGGAATGGACCTTCTCTGTGCATGCAGCTCCTGAGAGCAGGTCCTCCAGTACCCTCTCTTTCCTTTCCTGCCTGCAAGGCCTGTGTCCAACAACACTTCCTCCAGGAAGCCTTCCACGGTCATCAGTGCAGCCAGAGTTAGTCTCACGTTCCTGTGAGGCCCACAGCAAGATGCAGTCTTCCACAGCCATTGGTCTGCAGCTCTAGGGCCTTTTCCAGAGTTAATGACATTCTTAGTGACTCCCTCCTCAGCCTCCACGGGTCCCAGGGCAGATACTGTTTCCCTCTTTGTGACATCTTCTCAGAGAGTGGCTGTTCCTAGGTGCTTCAAATTTCCTTTTTAAAAATTAAAATATGGGCTGGGGATTTAGCGCAATGGCACCGTGCCTGCCTCACAAGCACAAGGTCCTGAGCTGGATCCCCAGTACTGGAAAAGAAATTAGGGGGATCGAACTCAGGACTTTGCGCTTGTGAGGCAGGTGCAGTGCCACTGCACTAAATCCCTGGCCCCCTGCAAAAAAATTTTTAAATGTCATCCTCACTTTTGAGGATCTGAATCCCGGTAAGGGTCACCAGATGTTTGCTTGAAATGAATTTATCACCTGAGAAGGCTGAGCCGCTCCCAACTAGGCCTGATGCTGTTCCTGAGCTGCTGGCTTTCCACTAGGACTCACAGATCCAATCATCTGCATTTTCCTTGAAGGTGATGACGGGCTCCCTCTTCCAATGTTACTGCTTTTTGTGGGTTGAGTTTTGTTTTTATTATTGTGTTTTGGTCATAGTAGGGATTGAACCCAGGATCTTTGCATTAAGCCACATCCCCAGTCTTGTTTAAGAAATTTTTTTTTCTTTTTTTTTTTGGTACTGGGGATCAAACTCGGGTCCTTGCGCTTGTAAGGCAGGCGGTGAAACCACTGAGCTAAATCCCCGACCCTCCTTTTTGAAGGACTATCTGTTATACATTTTGGTCTATCTGTTTTTTGACTATCTGGTATACATTTCTCACACCAGAAGAATAGTACAGTAGGTAAACATGTGTCTGAACTTTACCATCTTCTTATTCCTGGAGTTTTAGGGTAAAAGCTGAAGCAGTGGGTCCCAGCTGAACAGGCCTGGCCACCTGCCCCATAATAACACCAACCAAGGAGAGGAAGGGGTGAGGGGTGTGAAAAGAGTGCTAATCAGCACTGCAGTTCAGGGAGGAAAGATGAAGCTTCAAGATCCGTCTTCTAGGGGATGACAGGGAACGCTGGGGCTTTATAAAAAAGGGAAGTGAAGGAAATGGGAGCAAAGGCAAGAGCTGGAGGTTTGTGCATCTGGCAGGTAAGCGATCCTGGCCAACTTGCATCTGGCTGGTGTGGTTATGTCAGAACCGGTTCTCGAAAGGTGCTCCAGAGAAGTCCTTAAGGCTTGCACAGTGTGCCCATTCCCGTGAAGGTAACTGTTCCTGCCTAGGGAATGACTTCGTCAGAGGGTGGTCTGTGAGGCTCTGCTCTCCCCAGATTTTGAGGTAACTGAAGATTTCAGGTGATGACTGGAGACTTCTAAGGGGACTGGAACTAGTTA